TGAGATTCTAGCCCTTTCAGTATCTTTAGTTTCTACTTCTGCCTATTTCTATGCTACTATTTTTCATAACACCTTTAAAACTACTAGACTGCCCTGCAGAGACAATGCAAACCAAATTCAAAGTCTTACTTTACTCTGAAGTATTTGTGAAGGTTTTTGAAATGTGTGTGGCAGCAGACAGACTAAAACTTTCCTCAATAGAAGCCTTTTGTTTCAGTCATTTCTCACCAGGATCTTTCCTTCCTGCTCTCATCTCCTGGCTCTAATCAAATGAAGTGATCATACAACAAAGGATAACCATTTTCTTTTTGTTTGTTGAAATATACTTTTTTCCTGTTGACTGTATGCACCCTGCTTTAGTTCTACCAAGAGCAAATCGATTTCAAGGTACATATATTCATGCATGTTAGTAGCATATTGGCTCTTTCATTCATAACTATTATGCTTTGCTCAGTGTGGAACAAAATGACAAGACTTTAAACTATTAAACTTGTTTTCAACTGATCAGAGTTTAGGTTTAAGATATTGCTTTGTCACTTTAGAATGTGGAACATATTGTGAGTTCGAACACTTGTAGTTGTATGTTTTGTAAGAATAGACCACATTAATTAAGTGTTATTATTTCTTGGTTGTTTTCATTCAGGCCCAGTGGATTCTTCCAAATGCCATTAGATAGAAGATATATACTTTATTAATCCTTATACTTGTACTTGTACTTGTGGACATTCAACAGGGAGCGAGATGGTGGAGTGATGGGCTCGTCACGTTAGCGGCGCCCATGAGCAGTTTCTTGGGGTTATGTTGCCTTGCTCAACGTTAATATAGTGTTTTCTCACACTGACTGTATTCAGCCACACTGCCTTTAACAAAAGTACTTTATTTTGTGCACTTTGTGCAACTTTCTAAAGCCTTAAGGAGAGAATGAGACTAATGAGAACTCAAGTTAATTATTTGTAATCAATACAGATCTATCAATTAGCCAACCCTGACACCAGTTACACTCTACTAAGAGTGAAGGATGAGTTCAGCACACAAACTTTTCATTATTTTGAGCCATAATAACAACAGTTTTTGTTTTCAGAATTATATCTACTGATCATGTTTTACATTTCCAGTGTGTCGATACACACCGTGCCTCTCACTTGATGTTTCTTGGGCTCTGGCGACATCTCCTGTGGGATGAATTTGATTGGTCCTTTGATCTGCCTCCTGGACCTCTTGGTGCCGTCTGGTAGCGTCTCCATGGCGATATCTGCCTCATCGCTGCTGGCCTGGTCGCACTCGGAGCATTGCCTGAGGAGGAGGAAGAGAGCTCCTCTCAATGAACTGTATTGATTTTATTATCAAAGGCCCCAATCTTTAGTCTTTACTGTAAAAGAAAAACATCAATTTACCAATATGTTTTTCATTCTGATAAAGACCCGTTCTCACAAATTCTAATGTTGCTGAATGTCAGCCAATACTTATCACTCTGTTTGTCCTAAAAGGGAAGAAAGTATTCTGTAACTTTTACTGGTGACCTCTCTCTTCTTCTCCCATTTCTTAACAAAGCCACGCTAGCTTTTTCACCTTGTTTCCAGCCTATATGCTAAACTAGGCTAACTACATCCCGAGTCCAGCTGTGTATAAAACATATAGACATGAGACTGACATCCATCTACTCAGTTCTCTCTCAGGAAGAAAGCCACAAAACCAATTACCAAAAACATCTGAACTATTATTTTAACTTGTGGAGGTTTTTATTTAGA